CTTATATCTCATGATGACATTCCACTCTTTGAATGACTTTACAATGAAAAATTTTCAGAATATATCTCTCCAAACATTATTGGAGTCTATCACTGGAAGATTCTAACTGCTCTTTATCATGAAGACAAATTTTTTCACAGTAGTTGACACAGTGAAAACATAGCTTTCATATTTTTGTTGCAGGATATTTCTACCAGAATTTAAAAACATAAAATTCTATGCATGTGTTGACAGCTATGAGTCTTGGTTCCAGAGTGTCTATTATTAGGTTGTAAATAAGCAATTCACTTAGTAATTTTAATGCATGTAAACTACTCATTCATTTCATATATGTGCATGATATATGTCTGAATTCAGGCTTCTTTCAGAAAATCAAGGATTGTACAACAAAAAACTGAGTGGATATGTATTATTTCATTATAGATGACTTCTATAATACTTAAACTAAAATGGTTAACATTTTACTGAGTTCCTTTTTCCCCCTGCACTTCATGAATTTTTATGTATTTTTGGAAAGTCTTGACAGAATACAGTATTTATACATCTGAATTATAATATAGTGATATATTGTGGTAATATCTTAGTCATTTTAAAAATAGATTTCAGCCTTTCTTGATAGGGTTATTTTTTAATAATTTATTCTTTGAATTTTCATTTTACATTTCAACCAAATTTCTTCTTCCCACTCCACCCCCAGCCCCTTACCTTCCCCTGCAGCCCACCCCCAGACTACTCCTCTTCACAGGTAAGGGATTCCATGAGGAGTCAACAAAGTCTAGCACAATAGTATGGAGCTGTGTCAAGACCCTCTCCCAAGAGGGTGTGGTCAGCATTTTTCCCCTACAATAAACCAATGATATTCTATTCATTATTTAAGAGACTTTCATAAATCAAATTTACAATTCCTCAGAAAAGTAATGTAAAGCTTGCAATGAAGTCACACCAGAAACTGATTTTTAAAATTCATGTGTATGTCTGTGTGTGCATAAGTGCATGAGAGTGAAGATGCCGAAGATGATAGACTCCCTAGACATTGATTTATATGAGGTTGTGAGTCACCACACTTTAGTGCTGATGAACAGAGCTAAGTGTTCTGCAAGAGAAGTGTGTGCTCTTACTGTTGAGTTGTTGAGTCATCTTTCCAACCTCTACACATTTATATTTTCTTTTATTCTTCCTTTCTAGTAGATTTTCTATTATAACCATTAAAAAGTCAGATTTTATTTAATCCTAAATATTCACTGTAGACAATGCTAAAGAGGTATTTTAATGTTTATATCACATTAAGTTGATTTTAGAAAATGAATACATTCCAGGATCTTGATTTTAGTAAAGATACAGTTTACTGAACTGAAGGATGTTTAGTTGAGTCTGGGTGTTTAAAAGTCACCATTTCTAGCTGTAAGAGGTCAGTGATTGATGTTTCATATCATCTTTGTTTAATCCACATTCCACACTTGTCATGCAAGTAGACTGCCTTACTGTAAAGACTTTCTTATGGTCCATGCATGAAATGATGGATAAATTGACTTTAACATTAAGTATGGCTTGATAATGTCACAGAAACTTAATTTGTAGGTGTGAAAAAGAGTATGTGATTAAACTTCTTTAAAATAGCAAGATGCAGTTTTTGATTGTGCTCTTTAAACTACCCAATTTCTGTAAGGTTTAGACGTTTAAACAGTGGCTATATGTTCCATAATTTCTCTAACATGAAGGTATACTTTTTATTTTTCCCCAAATATATTCTTATATATCATTTCCAAAACAAAAAGTTGGTGGTTGAAAAGCTAAGGGTCAGTGCTACTTTTCTTTTCTTTTCTTTTTTTTTTTTTTAAAGAGGCAAGGAATTTTATTAACCCGCTTCCAAACTTTATTCCCAGGCTTCTTCAGCTTAATTTGCTGCAAAGAATGATTTGTGTTTAAGCAAAAACTGAAAAGAGCTGCAGTGTCCAGGGGGCTTGGTCTTAAAAATATTAGAGATCTAGATTTTATCAGATCCATAAACAAAAGAATTTTAAAAAGAAGTCATGATATAAAACAGCAGCTCCTGTGACTTGTGCAAGTGTCATTTTCTTCAGAAGTAGCCTCAATTCAGTTTGCCTCCTTCTTAGAAGCCTCATCAAAATTCTTTTAGTAGATTCAAACTTCAGAATTAGTCCATGTAAACCACATCTTTCTAGAAGAAAATTATTTTTGTTTTGATGGTAAGACATTCACAATTTTATGTGATTATATTTCAGGAATCATCACTCTGATTGTTAAATTATACTCAGAATTTGGCAGTGACTTTAAATCCTGAAGACATGGTTGTGCTTGTTTGTTCTTTAATTACATGTGACATCAATAGTAAATTATTATTTTCTTAGTTTTTATCACCAAGAGTGCTTTCAATTATAAAGAAATGAAACTACAATGGAGATAGCAAGCAAGGCTACTAAATTTGTGATGAAGCATGGCTAATCACTCATGTTCTCTGCATAGACCACATCTGCTGCTTTTTTTCTCTTATTTCTACACATTGTTAATGCACTGGAGAATTACCATTGTGTGAACTTGTAAAAATAAATTTAGATACAAGTAATAAGCCTTGTGATTCAAGGTCTACAAATAGAAATAACACACCAACACAACCTGACCACGGACATATTATTTGGATGACACAGAGTACTTTAATGATCTGATTAATTTAGAAAATACCAGTTACATAGTTCACTTCAGATGAGGATTTCTTGAGTTTAGATTTCTGCACTGCTTAGATTCTATGGATCATTTTAAAATACTCATTATTTTCCTCATAAAATTACTTTATTTGCTGCATATTAAAAAGGAAACAGTGATTAAGTTCTTATTTATTTCAGGCACAAAACTGAACATAATTTATTAAGGAAATGCTCCTAAACTGTAAATATTTAATGCAAGTCATATTTTAAGATCATGTTACCCCACTTTTAGTGACAATAAAATCTTAGCTTGTTCTAGCAGCACATACACTATCTATTTGATAGGTGATGAAACCATACATAACAAACAACAAGGCTCTGTACAAGATGCACACCTCACAAATAAGCCATGGTCATCCATATTTTAAATGTATGTGATACCACATAACATGAGTGATTCCTATTAGAATCTGTCTACTTAAAATTTGATTCATTTCTAAAGCTGACACGATTTTTTTTACCTTATACAGATTGCTATATAAAGTATGAACTACTACTTTTGTGATATGTATAGTATGGCATATGAATATCCTAAATTTTCTGACTCTCATTTGTAGACAGGAACTTATGTAAATGTTTGGGAATAAAAGACACCATTATTTAAAAATGCAGGGTGTCTGTGAGATCATGCTTATGTTTTGCTGACATAAAATAGCTGCTACAATCCAACCTTGAGTTTCAAGATTAATTAATTATTTTGTCCAATTTTGATATGATGATATTTGAGAACTCTTCACTTGCAGAATTTGAAATCAATTACTATAAACATCGCTATCTGTTTAAAGAGTGCTTTGTCTTCATTATCACATGCTTATTTCAAAAATGTGGTTTTATATGTATGAGACAAAAAGTAAAACTTTAAGTTATATATTACTTATTTTAGAACGTATTTTTAAAAATTTAAAATACACCCTTATTAGGTTCAATAAAGCTGCCTTAGGGGGAATTCTTTTGAAAATATGGAAGATACTTTTAAGCGCATTGATTTTATGGTCTGTGGAATTAGTAACATAAATGCTATCAAATGTTTGCTTTTCATTTTTTTTTTAAATTTTGAATGTAGTGTGAGGCAGGATTTTATTTTCTGAATTGATTCTTTATACATTTGATACCAAAGACAACTCCCAGATTCTTGTCATCATTTTCTTTTGTACAAGCTTACCAATAACTGTCTAGGGTTCATAATTTTAATATAGAAAAAATTACATATTTTTTTCCTTAATAATCTTCATGTGCTTCATATATTATAGGAAATGACAGTATTTAAAGTTGTATGTAAAATATGTTAAAATATATATATGTATATATATATATGTGTGTGTGTGTGTGTGTGTGTGTGATAACACTAAATGGTAAATGAATAGACTCAAATGCAGTCTTTATAACACAGACACATATTTTACAAATAATTAAGTGGGCTACTTCCAGGAAACTGGGTATCACTACATTGAATTGATGTATTCAATTGATGAATTTCAAATTCAGAGCCAATGGGAGAATGAACTTGGGAGAAAACAAAGATTCTGGATACCTGGCTTGATTTTATTTTTTATTTTTTTAAGTTTATAGTGCTTATGTGAAAGGGTAAGCCAAGAAGATCTTTCTTGACCACACTTGAAAACTTGAATAATTACTAAGATTAAATTTTATAAAAAATATTACTTTCACAGAAGTGAAGAAGTACAATTGTAAGATGGTCATGGTTACAATGATAGAAATACGTATTGCCAAGAAAATGTCAGCAAGGAATTTAGAAATGACTGCACAGCACCGCATTAGAGAATGTGGTTACAGCAACATGACTGATAGTATTTTCCATATTAATAAAATCTTCAAATCTTTTTATAGAAATAAATGGGGGAAAGTGCTTTCCTTTTACCTTAATTCCTATGAAAATATTTCTGGATGTAGAGCAAGAGACAGTAAAAAAAAATGACAGTTCAAGAAAAAGACATTCATGCATTTAAGCCACAATTAGTCTGATTCTAATACAAGGCAGACCATTAATCTTTTGCAAAACTATGACTCTAGCCACTTAAACGCTTTTTAGTGCTTTGCATGACAAGGGCATGATAGGCTCTGTAAATGTAGGAGTTAAGATGTATTTCCAACACATTAACTTAGACAAATACTTTTTGAAACTCCAAATATACAATAAAATGCTTTGCTCTGAAGAAATGATGACATGTCAATCAAGGAAAAAATTAAACACCGATAGGGTCCTATAGAGTTTATCAGAAATGACAGTGTAGATAGATAAAAAGAAATGACATTTGCCTATGTGTCATCTTCAGTCTTAATGATGTGGAATAGGGTGACATTGAACAGGACCTGGTGACCATTGTTCCAGGCATAAAGAGCTCTATCTCTTGCATTGTAGTCAAGCATGGATATGTGGAAGTATTGGTTATGGAAGGGGATGTCCGTGTACTCATATGTGGACGTTTTTGTGGAATAGGAATAATACACTTTGGCTCCAGTGAGGTGGGAGTTGGTGACATACAGAGTCCCACAAATCATGAAGGATTCCCCTGCACTTCTCTTAGGGTAGCCGGTACTCCAGCTCTTCATCACCTCCAAGGTATCTTGATTAAGCTGGCTGATGACAATATTGCCTGCATTTTGGTTAGTTGCATACACAGCCCACAGGCCAATTTCATCAGCCATTAGGTCGATGTCAGAGAATCCACCCCATGTGTAGGGGTATACGTTGTGAAAGCCAGCATACTCCAGGCTTCTTTGAGCTAGCACTCTCCCTAAATCAAAGCTGTACTTGATGATGATATTACTCTGATACTTGTTAAAATAGAGTGAGCCATTGTAGACAACATGGTTAGTTCCTGCCCACTTGAAAGGGAGGTTGTATGTCCTTGATTCAGCTCCACTGACAAAGTCTGCAATGGACTTGTATTCACGGACTATTTTATTGTTAGTGTAACTGTCCATATACCAGACCTGAAAACAAGGAGAAAAAGCAAGAGAAACAAATGAAGTGATTAAATTCTGGACTTTTATAAAAATTCTCACATAAATACAGGCAAAGTTTCAAAGTTTAGATGTCAAATGTTCTTTCCAATCTATTTAAATGTGATAGCATTGCCAGCCCTTTTAAAGGTATTTTATGGAGGGCCAGTAAAATGGCTCAGTAGATAAAGATGCTGTCAAGCTAACAAACTGAGTTCCATCCCCCAAAGTGGAATGGTAGAAATCAAGAATTACAGTGGTCCTCTGACCTCCGTATATGTCCATGAACATGCAAACACACAGATACATTAAATTTTTAGAAAAGCATATTTGTATGGAAAACAAAGAGCTGAATTTACTACCTTCAAATTAATTTGCTTTTTCTTTATTTTATTTTTGGCAAGTTGGTGCATATTGCTGACTAAATCTATCACGTGTTATTTCAAAGCAAATCTCGTGATACAACAACATGATCAATGATAACTGTAAGGCTTTATCTTTATTATGCCCCTTGCCCTAAAAATTTATCTATTTTATTTTAAATGACAGACTTTTGGTTACTTTGTAGTTACCACAGAACCGTATAGTAACCGGTATTCATTAGATGATCTTGTAAATTTTAGTGAAACCATTGCATTAATTTAATAAAATATGTCATTTGGATAAATAAGAATCTTAATTTATAATGAATTCATAAATAGGAAGAATTACTATATTTACTTGCATAATACAAGTTTTGCCGACCTATGAAAACACTCCACTAAGTTCAGTTGAATTCCTTTTACACTTATCTCTAGCAATACACTGATTTACATAATTAATTGGTTCACTACTCAGTGCTTAGGCTTTTTGATATAAAGATCATATTTCTTATAGAATTTTCAAGAAAATTGATATGCAAGCGATTCATACATTTCAAGCATAAGCCAAGACTGAATTCAATGACAATTAGACTAGACTACACTGAAGAATTGTGAGAGGAACATATTACTAAAATAGGTTTGCTATACACATTAGATATATTAGTAGTTCTATTGGAAAATATCAGGAAATAATACTTTTTACATCAGAAGCTGTATCATGAAAAAAAGGAATGGCCTGGGATAAAATAGTGTAAGAGAAACTTAATTATAAGCAAAAGCATTTGTAGAAGCAACATACTCTATTATGTTTTTCAGATGCTAAGGGATCTGTCATCCAAGCACCAAATCGAGTTCCAGATGTCTTGACCGTGATGGGCCCCGTGATCTTCATCAACTTGCCACATGCTGGAATTATAGGAACATAAACATGTTGGTTGAATACAGCCGATGAGTCTAACATACAAACTCAGAATGAAGCAAAGGGAGGAGGGATATAATGCAGAGTAATTCCATGAAATAAATGTCACATTTTTTGAATGAAAGAGCATTATGGTGACTATATGTATTTAGCCCTTTAAACGAGATATAGCTTGTTATTTCATAAAAGTAAAGTGCATTACTATAGGAAAAATGGTTCATATGACCTAAAAAGAAATAAAAGAGAAAAGTCATTATCATTATATCAATTAATATGGGCTGATTCTGAGTAAAAGTTTTGGAAACATTGGCTTCTTTGTGTCTTTTTTTCAAGACTTTATTTCCATCGAAAGACACACACCTTCTTAATTGGAAATAGATTCTTCATTCATACAACACATCCCAACCCCAGTTTCCCCAACCTCTTCTCTTTCCAGTTCCCACCTTCCCCAGTCATTCCCTCTCCATTGTAATTCAGAAAACATCAGGCCTCAAAGCCAAATAGAACAAAACGAGATACAGTAGGACTGGTG